TGATCCCAGAGGAGTGAAAAGGAACCCCAAATCCAAAATCAGACCCCAGAAAAGTGAGCCCGAGCGATTCATGAGAGAATTCCCCCTTCCCCCTTTCCAATCAGCCCTGGTTAATATCCTGACCATGACGGGATCTGATCTGGAATATCTCATTGGCAGAGCCAGCTGACAGTTATGGGTTTTGCTGACTACCAACATTTACCCCAGTCCTCTGCACTTGCAAACTCCCCAAACCCCATGTCCTTGTACCTTATCAACATTCTTCTCATAACAAATCCCACACTGAAACCCAAACACAGCGCTTTCTAGCTGCTAAGAATTAACTTTATCCTAGCAAAACCAGAACAGGCTTCATCCAAGATGGGTCCCGGGAGCCCGAGTTGGGGGCAGGGTGTTGTATTCCTGTCTATTTCAACCTCCAGTTCCTCCGTCCCCACCCCTGGTCCCCCCAGAGGAGCTGTGGGACGTGGGCCAGGGGGATGCTCAGCCGGCGGGGAAGCGTCTGGTGCCGGCAGCGTCAGAGCAGTAACAGCAAGACAGTTAATGACACAAACAATCCCACGCGCCGCGGGAAATCCATCCCAGAGCCAGGAACGACCAAGCCTTGAAGGAGCAGGGTAGCTCCTGTGCCACCGAGCTGCATGCCCTGGCCTTTGTGATGGAGTTCAGCCCATCTCCTGGCCACCACCCTTGGGTCGGTGACCCCCTGCCTGTCCTGTCCCTCCCAGGGTGGATGGGCTGTTCCTGCCAGACAGAGGGGCAGGTACAAACTCCTGCAGCGGGTGATGAAGGCCCACATAAGGCTTTTCACCTGCTCTGTGCCCCCCAGCTCACTCCCACCGCACGGAATGGGACTTTCCAACCCGGGACAGGGTCGGTGATTCCCTTGTGCCATGCAAAGTGCTGGGACATGGGACTCCGTGGGGTGCCAGGGGCAGAAGCAGGAGCCTCCAGGCAGCGTGGCCATGGGGACCTGCCTTCCCCTGCCTCCTCCTGTGTGCTGCCTGATGGCTGGCTCCAGGTGCCTCCCCAGCCTGTGTCCCTTGTGCCACCTGGCCATGCTCCAGCAGGAACAAAGCACCCTGTTTTATTTACCCACGGGGCCCAGGCAGTGTGGGAACAACCACCTCCTCCTTCTGCTCCGTCACCACCTGAGAGCACAGGTGAGTGCACAGGAGTGGGCACCTTCCTGACCACTCATGCCCACTTCCCAGCCCATCCCTGGCTCTCATGCCATGGCACCACAGTCTCCTCCCCAGCACAGCTGTGCCTCCCCGTGCAGCCTTCCTGAGGAGGAGGATGGGTGATGCTGGGACACTGCCAGGAGCGGAGCAGCCCACCCAGCCCGTGTTGGCTGCCCCATCACCACCCCATCAGGGTTCCATCTCCAGTGAGGGCTGTGTTCCTGGATGATCCCAGCAGCTTTCTCTTGGAAGCAGCAGCAGTTTTGGGGTGCTGGCTGGATGTGGGTGAGGGGCAGCCAGTCTTCGCAGGAGCTGCAGCCCCCACTCAGCAGCAGCGTTAGGGGTGAAGACACCCAAAACACATCTCTGGGCTGTGGGACTCACAAGAGCTGTGAAGATGCTGCCCAGGATGGGCAGGTGCTCAGCGCTCTGCAGTGCCCTGGGTTCAGCGTGACATTTGCTGGAGAGTTGGGGTGTCCCCAGGGGTCGAACCCCTTTGTGGAGGCTGGGGAGGATGAGGGGGGGTGCTGTGAGTGGCCTGATTTATGCATGGCGACGGATAATTACAGCTCTTTCATCATCTGTCAGGCAGACGGGCCCGGCAGAGCCTTACAACACATTTCTGGCTCCCTGTCTCAGCCCATAAATCTCCCCAGCGCACGGTGATAAATCAGCAGGGGCCGAGGGCGCGGGGCCAGGGTGGGCGTTCCAGCTGCCCTCCCACCCCGTAATGGGCACCCAGGTAGGAAGCGCCCAGGACGAGGTGGGGATGGCCCAGCAGGATGCACTAATTACAGGTGGCAGGTGGCATCCGATGACCTGTGATTTATGGTCTGGCCTTGCCCGCTTCCGAGAGCTGGGGCTGGATCCCTGCGGGGCCAGGGCTGCCCGGAGCTGAGATGCTGGGAATCCCAACCTCCCACACCAGCAAAACCATTCCTGTGGCAGGGATCCATCCTGCTTAGCTGGGTTTTGGACAGATGTATCTCAAAGTGAGCCCAGCGCGCATGTCCTGTGGCATTCAAGTGTCCCAAAGAGCCTCTCACTCCTGAGCTGAGCTCACTGTGTGAGTCAGTCCCACTCCTGAGCAGAGCAAGACTGGGCAGCCAGAAAGCTGCTGGGGAGAACAGGAGGGCCATGGAGAGCACAGGTGAGTGCTCAAAAATATGTGCAAGCTTCACCTCCCTTTGAAGTCCTGCTGCCTGGTCCTCCCCTCTCCCTGAGGCCCCATCTCCTGATTTATTTGGTTCCTGGAGCAGAGGCACCTAAATTAGCTCTGACTTCAAAGAGCCAAGAGAGGAGAAGAGCAATAGACAAATAGCCCCCCGCTAATTGTGGCTATTGATCAAACATGAGCTGGGACAATCAGATAGAGAGGGATGGGTCAAGGGGGGGTATCTTCTCCCAGGGCTCTGCTTTTGCACCAGTCACCCCAACAATTTGTCAGACCCACTACTGGGCCATTTTTCAAAATGTTACCCCTGGCACATGAAGGCATTTCACGATTGCTCGCTAATGAAGGGATGGGCAAACACACATGGTGGCCCCACACTGCTCAGAGGACAGGGACCTGGCCCTCCCCATGGCCTCTGGACCCACCACACCTGGCAAGTCCCTCTGTCCCTCTGGCTTGTGGGTGTGGGGAACAAGGAGCTGCTTTCAGAGTCCTCTTCCCCAGAGTAAGCACCAGGCAGACCCAGCAGCACCAGCCCAGACAGCTCTGCCCCGGGGCCACCGGCTGCTGGGAAGGGCCAGGAAGGCTCTGGAGGCAGGTAGCACTTTAGCTCTTTTATCACCTGCCCCAATCCC